TTCCCTTAAGGTTGGGCCTTACTAACCTCAAATCACCTCAAATTTTTCTCGTCAAAGTATGCATTTTTTATTTATTTTTTTCAGATAAAAAATATTTAGGAATATTTAGAAAAGGGGTATACATATCGGAAAACAAAGATTTTTTGTACTAGTGTAATAATAATCGTAGAATAAATAACTTTTCAGTGAAGGGCTCACGACAAGTGCATCCGCCATGACACCTCGAAATTCACCGAAAAACTATCTATTCTACGATTATTATAACACTTGTACTGTTAATCTTTGTTTTCCAATGTGTCTGCCACTTTTCTAAATATTTCTAAATATTTTTTACGTGAAAAAAACGAACTAAAAATACACAGTTTGACGAGAAAGATTTGAGGTGATTTGAGGTTAGTAAAGCCCAGCCTTAAGAAGGTTTGTGCACGACTAATAGTACAGTATAGGGAAAACTTATATTAATAATTTAATTAAAAGATAAATAACATTATTTGATATTAAATGAAACTTGACCATTAGAATTGATTTACTACAAAATTATAAAACTTTTGATCGTTTTATTTACAATAAATCTGAATTAATTTATGCCATTGGATTTAATGTTTAACCTAACTTTTAACTCAACTTCATACATTTATTATTTCTCAACTAAACGTTGAAATCTATTGATAAAGCAAACTTAATTTTTCTAAATTATTAACTAACACTTTTAAAATTTTTATAATATTAATCTTTAATTCGTTAAACGCTCGAAGCTCCTTAAAAGTAATATAAAATACGCTCCTTAAGTACAAAAGATTCATTGAAATCCTTTAAGCATCTAAAAGTGATAGAATACTTTATTAATTTAGTTAATTAGAATAAAATCCTACGTACAATTTTCAGCTACTTGCCTTGTGTAAAGAACGTACGCACCTTCCTCTAGTTTTTCTCTAACAAATAAAAACTTACTTATCGTATTATTTCTTTTTTTATAATCCATTACATGTATATCATAACTTTTCCAAGTCACGTCAATTAGTTTAAAAAAATAGCAAGAAATAATTTCCGATGGATGGTAGTTGCTAAAGGAAATAAGGAAGAAGGCGATAAATTTTTATAAATTGCAAATGAATTTTTAAAGCAAATTTTTATCTAATAATTCTTCTAAGAATAATCTACGACACTATAAATTTTATGCTTTCTTTCTCGATCATTTTATTCAGGCCTGTTTTGACTTTTTTTATTTCCGTTCATAGAGCATGAAATACTTTAAATATATCTCTAAAAAAGCGAAAATTTTACGCATCGATTATTGCCAATAGCACATAAATTCTTGGTGTATATAATGCAGATGGTGTTTACGTCATTGAATAATGCGTCATTATGTAAGGAACACATGTGATGCCTTTACACATGCTTTGTACTCTAGAATCTAAAGTACATGTCACAATCGAAACTTGATACACTCAACTCTTAACCTTCACAAACGTTTCTTTTCTTACACACATTCATCACATCGATCTAATTAACTGTGCCAAACATTTTTGCATCATTCAATTATCACTCAATAATGTCCTCCAGGTTCTAATGCACACACATAAACACTCAATTGAATCAACAACGATTAATTGTTTCATCTATCAAAAGTACCTATACCATACTTCATAAAGTATCCTAGAGAATCCTAGAGGACTCTAGACAACCAAGATCAATTCAAAAGATCAGCAAAATTAACTGTTGGTACTAGTGTTGTCGAGATTGGTTTACATTAATCGACGACTGTTTCCTCTTGAATATCTTTATTCTTCTCTTTTCTATAGTTGAAACACTAAAAGAGCAGAATTGGAGGTTATACAGAGAAATTATGTTGGCGCATGCGCACAAATTGTAGTAATAGTTTTATGTACAAAAATTTTTGATAAATGATAACGTAGAATACTTTGAAATAAAATGTAATAGAGATAATAATTTTGAAAAAATAATTTTTTGTATAACCTCCAAGTCTACACTGCAAATCATTATGTTTTAATTTAAAACACTTGTAGTGTTTAAAAAGTGACTACAATGTTAATCAAATGGTAACATCATTTTAAAACGCTTTAAGTGTGTTAAATTAAAACACTTCAACAATTTAGAGATTTATAGTGTAATTAATTTATAGTGTAATAATTCTCTTTCAGTATTTATATTTTAATTAAATTCAACAGTTTTCCGCTAAATGGCAGGAATTTTAATTTAAAAATGCCGGAAGAGGTGGTTAATGACACAAACCACCAAGACTGAAAGAGTTGAGACTGGGATTTTCTAACCTCGAATCATCTCAAATTTTTCTCATCAGATTATGTATTTTTTATTTATTTTTTGCATGTGAAAAATATTTACAAGTGTTAAGAAAAATGGTATACAGAGGCGAAGACAATATTTGACAGTGTAAGTCCAGTAAAAATTGTAAAATAAATAATTTTTTAGTGCATTCTAAGGTGTCATGGCGGCCGTCCTTGTCATGGGCCTTCCACTAAAAAATTATTTATTATGCAATTTTTACTGCACTTACACTGTCAAACTTTGTCTTCCCTTCTATATACTATTTTCCTTAACACCTGTAAATATTTTCTATATGAAAAAGATAAATAAAAAATAAATTATCCGACGAAAAAACTTTGAAATGATTTGAGGTTAGAAAAGCCCAGCCTCAATCGATTTAGATACATATAATCAAATAAGCTTCAATCGATAAATAAATATCGATTGTTAACTAAAAATATTCGATTATTGAATGTATGTATTTCTTTCTCATAACATGAAATTCATAGGATAATAAGAATAATAACAGTAGTTTATAAAGATCAATAATTAGGATTTACTTATAACGATAGTTATAAACTTGTCATAAAGTATGTAATTAAAATGACGTAGTAGTAGCCTAGATTAAAGTTCCTTTCGTGTCGTAGGTCAGGCACGGAAATTACTCTACTATTTAAAGGTCGTAAGTTACTTACTTAAAACAAACACGAGTGAAGTATTCGAGTTAAATCAAAGCAACTAGAAGTTGAATAACAGATGAAGGCTATCAAACACGCATGGTTATTTTTCATCAACAGATCCGATTATATTACACTTATAAATTGATATCTTAAGTGTAATTGGTATGATCGTGGCATTATAATCTCTAATTAAGATTTCTTTCAACAGAGTTGATTTGAAGTCTCACCTTTTCACTTCTTTCTCTAATTAAATCTCCTAGATCAAGCTGATTAGAGATCATACACTTGTACTATACATTTCCGGACTAATAGTAGGGTAAAAAAAATTCTGGGTAGAAATTATTTTGCGTCAGTAGTGACGTCTGATAAATTTTCCCGCACATCATGAAAAAAACTTTGGGGTAAAATTTGTTGGTTAATGAAGCGATGCTGAAACACGGATATTTTTACCCTGTAAACGGCAAATTTAAACAAACTTAAAGAGGACACTGACAAAAAAGATTTGTAATAATAAAGGAAGCTTCTTAACTGTTAAAAAATATTTGTTAATAATTATAAAATTTTATCTTAACTATTAAACATACCTTTGTTACAGTACAAGAAATATTTTTTGACAGTTGATAAATCTTCTTAGCTATTAAGGGATCTAAAGTAACCAATATATTTCATATTTTATTGTGGGTTGTATGGTTTTTTTAATATAAAATGACATAAAATTCGAATGAGGTTAGGATTTGGTTCTATTTCATGCATATTTCTATTAATAAAAAATATGCAGAAGGCAAAAAGTGAGGTTATAAAGGGTGAATTGATAAATATGGCAGTTCTGGTTGATATAACGTTAGGTGGCGCTGCGAACGCCGGTTTATTAATTGTTAAAAACTATTTCTTTACGATGAAATGAGATTTATTCATTATAAAACCACTAATGTTTTCATAACTAAGGCTTTTTATTGCTATCACCTATTTATTAACAGTTAAAAACCATTGATTTTTATAATAATTAAAAAATCGTTTTTTAACATTTATAAATCTTTTCTAGCAGCAATTAGTTTGATAAGTAATAAAACAATCTAAATAATCATACGTTGCTTTCATTATTATGAAGATTTAAAAGTATGTCCTTACAATACGAAAGACTCTGGTCTCTGACTCTGGAAAGAGACTAGTAATGTTTAGACTACATAATAATCATCAAGTCCTGATCAGTCCTAAAAGCTATTAAATAAACAATACACTCATTCTAGGAAGAGTAATAAAACTAAGTCTAAGACGTATATTTACTATCAACCTAAACATGCGCCATGTCATTCACACATAAAAAAAAAAACAAGTAACCTTATCATTACATACAATAAAGTAGTGGATAATTTTGTTCATACTCCAACAGTTTTTGAATAAAATTTCGATATGTTTTTCGCAATTCGAGGTGATACTAAATGTGGTTAAAAATTAGTCACAAGTATTTTATGAACTGGTCATTCGCCGGATGCTGGTGGTCATTTACAGGTCATTTTACCTTCATAAATTATGAAAATATCTCTTTTCAAAATGAAACAGGGATCATGACTGCAGAATTAGTAAATATCCACTATTTTGTTGTGATTTCACTGATTTACACTGTTTCAATTCTTGAGAATACACAGAGCAATAAAATGAAGGATTATCATGATCTTACTTCACTGTGATCTGACATTGAAAAAAATTATTATGGTGAGAGCAATCCCAAGTAATTCTTTTGTCTCTTCTAATTATTTGGACAACTGTAATAACTATATCACTCTTATGAGCAAATGAAGTGTTGCTCTGCTAGCCGTACTATGGACGTTAAAGTTTAAATAGTTAATCTAAGGGTATGGTTTCTAAGCCTATAAATTGTTTTCAGTGTAGTAATTTTTACAATCGAAGCATATCTTCACTGAGTTGCTATAGAACAGTAATTTTCATGCAAATTGGAAGCTAATTTTTAGGATGAAATATTTCTCGCATAAAAAAGGAAAAGTGAATTTTCATTTATAATTTTAAAAATTTTACCTCTTGAACCTCCCGAACACTTTTGAGCATAATTTTCTTCGGTGTCGGGCTGTCAGGGGCAACGATAATATCACAAGGTGTAACTTCCGGTTCATCAGGTTGCATCACATGAGTCTGTTGCATTTCCGTAGCAAGTTCTTGATAACAAGATTCACCAGATCCACGTCGGCTTCCGGCAATGCACATTGCACGTCTAAAGAGACTTGCTAATACAGCACATAGACCACATTGCATACTAGTGGCGCTACCACGACTTGACAGTGATCCGCCATTGGTCCGTCGACGGGTCCGAGTCCCGCGGGATTCGTGGTCACGCGACGCCAGTTTTATGGTCCTCTCTTTTGGATCTTCAAACTTCCGTTTCCGCCTGCGGTGATGTTCCCTCTGATTTTTACCCCCCTCCACCATCGACACCCGTTGTCGTATACTCTTTGGTCACTCAACTTTTTCCTCCAGCACCGAGCTTTGGATTTTGATCGAGATTTTTTTAGTTCACTTGTTTATGCTTTTTTGCCATCGTTTTTTTTTTTCTTCCTTTCTCCCCCCCAAACTCCTTTTTTGCACTCACAACATCCTACAGTTTATTTACACTACTTGATCTGGCACCTACTCAAACCATGATCGCAACACACTTCACTTAATATTATTACACAAGCCTTCGTGTTCTCTTAAAACACCTGACACTTTTCTTCTCTAAAGAAAGCAAAATTTTATTAAAGAAAAATGACTAATAATGTCCAAGTATGAGACAAACAATGAAGAGATTTTTTTTTTTAATATCATTTTTGTGTTATTAGCACATTGAGGTCATTAATCTTCTACTGACTCATCAGCAATTATTTGTCATTTATTTATTATTCTTATTTTTACATACATCTATTGCAAAAAAAAAAAAAAGAAATATAATTTATATCTATAGATTTAAAAAAAAAAATGGCATCAACAACTATTTTACCAACTTCAAAAATAATTTTTAATTTTTCATTTAAAAATATTAATTCATGAAAGATAAAAATAAAAAAATCTCTTCTATCTCACCCTTGTTCGCGAAGAGACACAATACTGGACTCTAGAGTCACAGTACTGAATACAATAGAATCTTCCAAACATGATAAAATTGATTGAATCAAAAAAAATAAAAAAGCAACAAAAAACAATTCAATTGTTAATAACAATAAAATACTATAAAATAAAAACAATTAAATTAATATTAACATTAATATCATCATTAAATGATATCATTAACTATAGCGATTATTTTATTAATAAAATAATCATCGATTTATAATAATAACAATAACAATAATATTATCATTATAATTAGAAACAAAATTTCAGATATAGAGGCACAAATAGCTTATTAAATAACACACGAAGCGTCAAGCGATCCGCGCCAGCCGGCCGCTTTCCACGCACTGACATCGCCGTGAAGTCTTCGAGGGTGGCGACACGGTCGTCAGAGTCTTCAGCTGTCTAGCGCCGGGCTCACGACTGTCTCTCCTCTCCCCCGCACTCACACACTTATATATGTACACACACACATATACTAGCACTCATCTCTTTACCCCTCTCAAAATCAACGTCTACCCCACCTCATACTCTAGGCACTGTTATATACTATTGAGGGGAAATATCTTGACAATCGGGTCTCTCCGACACAATTCGACACAGATCGGCCAAGTGCTACTCACTCAGCAAAACCGGGAAGGAGGTAAGATCAATAACAAACCACCGAATGCTGAATCAAGGAAGAGGAGAACGAGAGGAGTGTAGGTAAATGTATGATAGTTATTTGAGGGGTTAGAGGCAATATTGAGATAATGTTACCGACTGATGGGAAATCTAATTTATCGATACTCGGTCGGTAAATAAGAATTAAAAATTAATTTTGATTCAAAAAATGAATTTTAAGAGTTTTTTTTTTTTTTTTTAAATTACTTTTATCTTTTTGAAGTTATTTATTAGATGGTGTGAAATATTAATCATGTTGAAGGATATTAAATTAATTTAATTGAATGTCGGAAATTCCTACAAAATATTACACCAGTAGAAGTAGGAAGTTATTATCAATTATAAAAAAGCTGTCAATCAATTGATATGCATCAAATATTAGTTATAGTATCTAGTTCTATTTCTGTTTATCTCAATCCACGTGATACCTTTATCTGCAAAAAAAAAAAAAATCAATGAAACTAAAAACGACGAGGCAAATGTTAATTATATAATACCATAATTAAGTATAGTTGAATCTTATTAAATTCAGACTAAATAAGAGGTCATAAACTTGAACAAAAATACTCCGTAAACTAGAGGGTATTGAAATGCAGATCATTGACCCCAACAAGTGCATCCCCACACCCTTGATGTCGTTTTATTCAAATACCATTTCTATGTCAAGTGAATAAAAGAATCGAAATCTAGGCATAAGTGATACATTCAACAGTAGCAATTTACATGGACATTTGGATTTTTCGGAAAAAACTATATTCAACCAAAGACCATTGAAAAACCCCCGGAGAGTCGTCGAAGGATAGCTGTATAGTAGAGGAGGGATGCGGCTCCTGTTAGTGTCAGCGAAGCCGTTGATAGAACGATATAGAAGGTTTAGAGAAAGAAAGCTTGATAATCAGATGCGCGCGCATCAGCAAAGCTCCCGGGAAGCTTACCCACATGTCCGGGTATACTATCGTGTCCTTGTGTCCTCCCTAAGCTCTTTAATTTCATCATTATACATTAGCAATTGATGATAATTAGATTCTCATAATGCTAAGCTTCATTACTGATAAACAGCCATCAAGTGGATAATTAAAAAATAGCTGCAACTGACAGCTACATGGACAATCAAGGAAACGATTTACTGCTGTATTAAGACCTTTTAAATTGCAAGCATGGATTAAGGAATTCTTCCTTTTTCTAAAAAACGATTGAGCTATCAAGCAAAAGTATTATCAATTTTTATTATTATCAATTTTTTTTAATTGACTTGAAGAACATTTGAGCAATTAAGTGGAATAATCTGCCACTGTATCCAATCATGACTGTGAAATTGGTGGCATTTAGTAGAGGATTTGTCACGACTGAACTTTGGATTTTGATTCAAAAGATACTATAGAGATTTAGAATTAAATTCTTTACTAAATCTCTACTACAGTATAAAAATGTTATATAGACTTTCATATAATCACTTGATTCATGCTAGATACTGGTTAACACGATTTCTAGACGCTTTCTATAGTCCAGTTGTGATTATTCTAGAAAAGCTCTACTTAATTCTAGAGGTTATTTTTTCAATTTTATTTTGTAAAGAATAGTGTTACAAATAATCGGATTTATTCATGATTTTGGGAACATTTAAAATATTAATTACCATTTAAACTGATCTTTCTTACAGGTAATTGGATGAAAAAAAAGCAGTAATTTATTAATCCTAATTCAAATCAATCAGTTTAAAAATTTGAAATAATTTTTTTTCTCGAAATTGAGTCAAACGAGTTTATAAAAAATGAATTCAACTTTGTGTGACGTGAAACGTATTGCTTACATGAATCTAATTAATATTAAATAAAAAATGTTAATGAATATCGCTAAAGTTCATCGATTAAAATGTGTAAAAAAAACCCCTTATGGTAGGAGTAAAATTTTACACCACAGTAGATCTTATCTACTCTCTTAAACTGAATCAGTGAAAACTACTGCGAATTAGTGAATATTTACTGATATTCAGTGCCAATCCAATGACTGATTCATTCAGTGACATGATTGATTACTGGGTATGAATACATATGGACATATGAAGTTAGTCAATGATCGATATATATCGAAATAATGAGTGACTTTCTCCTGATTGGTTACTTCATTTATGCGGGAAATTTAAAAAATTAGTAGGGGAAAGTGGGGTCAAATGAAATACCAAAAGAAAACGTAAATCAATTAATTAACCATTGTGTCAACAAATGTTAATAATTTTTAATGCATTAATGAATAGAGAAATTGATAAATAAAAAGTATAATAAGCGTTTTTAAACTTATTTGAATAAATTAGTACATTTTCTCGAGCGTTTGACTTCGCCCCCGCGTTCTATTTTACCCTTCCTTACCCTAATTTGCATTGTACATCCTCAGTGTGCACTTTGTATGCACTAATTTCGAGTGTTTTTAAAACAAAATGAAAAGACCTAAAGACTTGATATGAGCTTTCACATAACAGAAATACTATTTTTACTCTCAGAAGATATAAAAATAAATCATCATATCGATAATATTTTATCAGAAATGATCGAGTAATTTTTAATAGACAAATATGTGTTGTGTCTAAGTAAAAAAATCTTATATTATTTGAATTGAAAAGAAGTGCATTTCGTGGTAAAGCAGAAGTGATCTAAGGGAAAAAAGAGATGTATAAAGAAACTACTAGAGGGTTGAAAATGGACCTGCAGGTAATTTACTTGATGGTCCTGACTCGCTGCACCCTCAAGACACCCACAGAAGAACACAGCCTTCATGGTCTGCTGGGACTTGATACGAAGTTTCATTCGGTTTTCTCTTTTCTGTTCCCTCTTCACTCAGAAATATATATATATATATATATATATATATATACATGTATACTTCCTAGTGCTGTTAGTAAATATTACTTAACTTTATTACCTGTCTTATGACGTCATCTTGATTAATATACGACCACATGTGCACAAAGGATCTACAAAACTTTATCTTTTTATCCTTCGTAAATATAAACTGAGCTTATAAAACTATTCTATGAATAACTTTTACGCTCAAAACATACTTGATTGGTTCTCGTAAGAATCTGAAAGTGGGAAGTGATTATTCTCTAGATGATCTCTGATAGATTTCTAAACTAATACATTTTTTATATCCAAGTTAATAATCATGACATTACTGAGAGATATCTTTGGAGTAAAAAAATACTCCATTATCCTCTTCTAAAAAATTGATTACTATCCCCTCTCTATCTACAGACTTAAGGGCCTTCTATTTCCTGTACTTGATATTACTACGGCTAGATAGCGCTACGTTCACTTTACAGCTAGAGTCTCTTAAATTTGTTTTTAACAATATGTGTTTTAATATTTTAAGGCTCCTGTAGGAAATGTAATGCTATTGCTCTTCGGTTTTTTTTGTTGTTGTCAATGTTATGCCATTTTAGCCCAACTGTGGGGATGTCTAGACAGTATTTGCACTTCGCGCCATATTGGAGAAAAAAAATTATAATTAAAATTTGTAACAAACTATGACTATGTAAAAGCTAGGCAGTATGGGCTAAGAGCTCGTGCATTTCTCTTCTTTTCCTAAGAAAAAACAGAGAAGAGTCCCTTAAGATCTGATGGGAATTTAGGCAGAACTTGAGCAATATGGCGTCGTCTTGCCAGACTCTATCTTAAGGGACTCTATTTGCAGCTTTCTGATTAGTGATCATAAAATAAATCTATTATTACTCTTATTGGTAATTGTATCAGATATAATTGAATTACCATTTTTGTAATCTTACATTCTGTATAAATTTAATTTAATAATTCTGTATTTGGCTGTGTAAGTTTTATCCAAAGCCTTTTTTTCCTGAAAAAAAAATTCTTATTCATGATTTTTGTACGCTAATATTAGACGCTTCAAGTTGTTTTTTGTACACGGGTCGTCCAAATAGGCTAGCGCTCTAGCCAATGTAAATTCTTTTTATGCATAAATAACATTCTTTTTGGTGAAAAAAATTGTATTTCACCTAGTTATTGTGTTGAGAAATTTTTGTGGTGGGGAAAATAATTATCTCGACATTTCGATAATTTGATCTCGGAAGTATGACGTGAATTGACACTATGCAATTTTTTATCATGATTTTACACCAGCAAAATAAAATCTGGCAAAAAAATATCAGACGGATTTTTTGATGATTTTTTTTTTGTAGAATGGAATAGTGAGATTGTAAAAAAATAACGACTTTTAGACTAATTTGTTTGAATAATTTTTGTTCACAAATTCAATTGACAAACAAAAAAAAAGTGTATTTGTTTCAACTATGTTCTAAATTCATTAGTTACTTCAATTATATCTGCCGTAGATTTGGCTGGAGTTTTAATGGGTTAATATGAACTTAATGTTCGATGATAAAATAAAAAATTTTCTATAATTAATGAAATTTTAAGGGTAAAAATGGATAAAATATAA